TTTTATTATATAGAGTTCATTTGTTTTAAAAGCTCAATAAATAACAAAGAAGACCTTTGACCGGCACTTTTCTAATTTTGTCCAGAAGATTTAAACTTTAACGGACATCTTGACCGGCGAAAGAAACTGAAACTGAAACTCTGCCGCACGGTCCCCTCGTTCCTTGGAAGAGGCGGAGAGGTGGGTGTTTGTCATCTGCTGGTAGACTAACCGGAGAGAATTACAGTGCTTGCCTCGACGGGGAGGGATTGCATTGAATTAAAGCAGCGGGAGCAAACGCTTGCCTCGGGGAGGGAGAAAAAAAGCCACAGCGGAGAATAAACAGAAGGGTAACCATGGTAACTATGGGCGGGAAGTCTTCTTCGCTGCTTTTGTGGCAGACTACAGCGCCACCTACAGGCCTGGCATATGTACTACAGCGTCTCCAGCGCTTTCGAACGGCAATGGCCGTGGCTGTCTCCTCCTGATTGGTGGAGTTGGCCCAATAGCCGTAGCGCCACCGTCCTGACGTCAGGACAGTGTTCAAATCTGGATCAGTTTTTATCAGATCCGTTGCAGCCCCTTTTTTAGAGATTTGGGTATGGAGGAAAATAGAGAGGGTTGTGTTTTCTGACACTTGGTGAGTTCCCTGGAACACCGGGGACACATATTCATGTAGAAAAGACGTACAAAAGTGCATTTTGCATGATAGGTCCCCTTTAATGAAAATAAATAATAGAAATAATCCCTTACATTTCATAAAAAGCTAAAAATATGATGAAATAATGTTTTTGTGTTCCCTCAGGTCGGGGCACTACGACCCGGACGCAGTGCGCTCCTGCGCCCAGACGGTGGCGCTGCACTGGCAGACGCTGATGCTGCGCATTGAGGACCGCCTGAAGCTGGTCAATGCCTCCGCTGCCTTCTACAGGACCTCACAGCAGGTAACACACACCTTAACACACACACCTCACAGCAGGTAACACACACCTTAACACACACACCTCACAGCAGGTAACACACACCTTAACACACACACCTCACAGCAGGTAACACACACACCTTAACACACACACCTCACAGCAGGTAACACACACCTTAACACACACACCTCACAGCAGGTAACACACGCACCTTAACACACACACACCTCACAGCAGGTAACACACACCTTAACACACACACCTCACAGCAGGTAACACACACTACACACCTGTAACAGCAGGTAACACACACCTTAACACAGCAGGTAACACACACACCTTAACACACACACCTCCCAGCAGGTAACACACACACTACACACCTGTAACAGCAGGTAACACACACACTACACACACCTGTAATAGCAGGTAACACAAACACTACACACACCTGTAACAGCAGGTAACACACACACTACACACCTGTAACAGCAGGTAACACACACACTACACACACCTGTAACAGCAGGTAACACAAACACTACACACACCTGTAACAGCAGGTAACACACACTACACACCTGTAACAGCAGGTAACACACACTCTACACACCTGTAACAGCAGGTAACACACACACTACACACACCTGTAACAGCAGGTAACACAAACACTACACACCTGTAACACACGCCTCACAGCAGGTAACACACACTACACACATCTACACACACCTGTAACAGCAGGTACCCACACAGCACCTTAACACAGCTGTAACAGCAGGTAACACACACACCTTAACACAGCTGTAACAGCAGGTAACACACACACCTTAACACAGCTACACACACACTACACACATCTGTAACAGCAGGTAACACACACACCTTAACACAGCTACACACACACTACACACATCTGTAACAGCAGGTAACACACACACTACACACACCTGTAACATACCTACACACACACACACCTGTAACAGCAGGTAACACACACTACACACCTGTAACAGCAGGTAACACACACTACACACCTGTAACAGCAGGTAACACACACACTACACACACCTGTAACAGCAGGTAACACACACACTACACACACACCTGTAACAGCAGGTAACACACACTACACACCTGTAACAGCAGGTAACACACACACTACACACACCTGTAACAGCAGGTAACACACACACTACACACACCTGTAACAGCAGGTAACACACACCTACACACTGTAACAGCAGGTAACACACACACTACACACACCTGTAACAGCAGGTAACACACACTCTACACACACCTGTAACAGCAGGTAACACACACTACACACCTGTAACAGCAGGTAACACACACACTACACACACCTGTAACAGCAGGTAACACACACACTACACACACCTGTAACAGCAGGTAACACACACACTACACACCTGTAACAGCAGGTAACACACACACTACACACACCTGTAACAGCAGGTAACACTACACACCTGTAACACACGCCTCACAGCAGGTAACACACACTACACACATCTACACACACCTGTAACAGCAGGTACCACACACACCTTAACACAGCTGTAACAGCAGGTAACACACACACACCTTAACACAGCTACACACACACTACACACATCTGTAACAGCAGGTAACACACACACTACACAGCTACACACACCTGTAACACACCTACACACACACACCTGTAACAGCAGGTAACACACACTACACACACCTGTAACACACCTACACACACACACACACACACCTGTAACAGCAGGTAACACACACTACACACCTGTAACAGCAGGTAACACACACTACACACCTGTAACAGCAGGTAACACAAACACTACACACACCTGTAACAGCAGGTAACACACACACTACACACCTGTAACAGTAGGTAACACAAACACTACACACACCTGTAACACACGCCTCACAGCAGGTAACACACACTACACACATCTACACACACCTGTAACAGCAGGTACCACACACACCTTAACACAGCTGTAACAGCAGGTAACACACACACCTTAACACAGCTGTAACAGCAGGTAACACACACACCTTAACACAGCTGTAACAGCAGGTAACACACACACCTTAACACAGCTACACACACACTACACACATCTGTAACAGCAGGTAACACACACACTACACACACCTGTAACACACCTACACACACACACACACACACACACACACACCTGTAACAGCAGGTAACACACACACTATACACACACACACACACCTGTAACAGCAGGTAACACACACACTACACACACACACACACCTGTAACAGCAGGTAACACACACACACTACACACACCTGTAACACACCTACACACACACACACACACACCTGTAACAGCAGGTAACACACACACACTACACACACCTGTAACACACCTACACACACACACCTGCAACAGCAGGTAACACACATCTGTAACACTCTTCTTGTGTGTTTACCTGTGTTTACCTGTGTTTACCTGTGTTTACCTGTGTTTACCTGTGTCTACTTGTGTGTTTACCTGTGTTTATCTGAGTGTTTATCTGAGTGTTTATCTGAGTGTTTACCTGTGTTTACCTGTGTCTACTTGTGTGTTTACCTGTGTTTACCTGTGTTATCTGAGTGTTTACCTGTGTGTTTACCTGTGTGTTTACCTGTGTTTACCTGTGTTTACCTGTGTTTACCTGTGTTTATCTGAGTGTTTACCTGTGTGTTTACCTGTGTGTTTACCTGTGTACCTGTGCCTAGGTGTGTGGGGTTCTGGAGAGTCTGGAGCAGGAGTACCGGCGGGAGGAGGACTGGTGTGGGGGGGGGGAGCGCCAGCCGGAGCTGCTGCTGCCGCTCGTCAGCAAACACATGGAGCAGAAGGAGGCCTTCCTCAAGGTGGGGGGACATTTCATATTTCATTTAAACGTCTTAAATTAGGTAAATAAATGGCATTTTAAGGGTTAAAAATATTTAACAAATCTGGCATTTTAGGAATTAAATATGATGTTAATATTTACATTTTAAGGGGTTAAAAATGTGTTAAACTGTATTTTAATGGTTAAAAAAATAAATGTCAAGGTTTAAAAATGATGTAAAGAATGTGGCATGTTAAGGGTTAAAAATCTTTAAATCATTGAATATATGGATGTTATAACAAAGGCTGAAATATTTTAATAAAATATATTTTTGAACATACCATAATAACCCTGTTGTTCCCGTGGCGACAGGCGTGCACCCTGGCCAGGCGAAACGCCGAGGTGTTCCTGAAGTATATCCACAGGAACAGCGTCACCATGGCCAACATCTCCGGGCACAGCGGGGGGGCAACCGAGGTCACCGGGCACTCCAGGGTCCCCGAGCAGCAGGTCAAAGGTCAGGACTACACACACAGATTCACACACACACACACACACACAAAAGACCCCTGAAACCCACCTAAATGTTTAAAAATGTGGCGGTTAACGTTAACTACAGAATTTGGTGGCGTTCCTCAGGGCGTCCTACTGGGTCCCCTTATATTCTTATATCAAGTTGTACTAAAACACATAAAAGTAGAAGTAGCAGTACTAATCAAAGAATTACATGAAGTATTTGTGGAGTGTGATAGACTGTAAGTATTACACGTAGTATCTGTGGAGGTACTGTGAGTATTACACACACACACATTTAATTTAAATAAGTGTGTTATCCCAGGTGTGTGTGTGTGTGTGTGTGTGTGTGTGTGTGTGTGTGTGTGTGTGTGTGTGTGTGTGTGTGTGTGTGTGTGTGTGTGTGTGTGTGTGTGTGTGTGTGTGTGTGTGTGTGTGTGTGTGTGTGTGTGTGTGTGTGTGTGTGTGTGTGTGTGTGTGTGTGTGTGTGTGTGTGTGTGTGCGTGCGCAGGGATCCTTAGTGAGCTGCTTCAGAGGGAGAACAGGGTTCTTCACTTCTGGACCCTGAAGAAGCGCAGACTGGATCAGTGCCAGCAGTACCTCATGTTCCAGAGCCACACGCAGCAGGTACACAAATATACATATTTCCTTTTAGGAATTTTTTGCTATTATACTTTTATTAGATGTTTTGGATAATATCACTATACATTTTTA